ACAATGTCCTCGAGCTCAGACTCGACATCGCGGGCCTCAAGGTCTTCATCGGACTCGGATTCGACGTCGCGGGCGTTCTTCTTTCCCTTGCCCTTGGCTTTGCCCTTGCCGCCTTGGTGGTGGGGTTCAGGAGAGGCGTCACGGGCTTCGAGATCTTCGTCCTCAGACTCAACATCGCGGGCGTTCTTCTTGCCCTTTCCCTTAGCCTTTCCCTTGCCACCCTGGTGGTGGGGGTCGCGGGCTTCGAGGTCTTCATGGTCGTGGTCCTCGGAGTCGACGTCGCGAGCGTTCTTCTTGCCCTTGCCCTTGGCTTTGCCCTTACCGCCCTGGTGGTGAGGGTCGCGGGCTACAATGTCATCGAGCTCGGAGTCGACATCACGGGCGTTCTTCTTTCCCTTGCCCTTAGCTTTGCCCTTGCCACCCTGGTGGTGGGGCTCAGGGTCGCGGGTCTCGACCTGAGCGTATTCTTGACGGGCGTTCTTCTTGCCCTTACCCTTACCCTTGCCACCCTGGTGGTGGGGGTCGCGGGCTACGATGTCTTCGAGCTCAGACTCGACATCACGGGCGTTCTTCTTTCCCTTGCCCTTGGCTTTGCCCTTGCCACCCTGGTGATGGCGGGCTTCAAGGTCACGAGCTGAGAGAGCAGCTACAAGGTTGGATGCTTGAACGGCTTCATTTTCCTGTGGAATTGTTAGTCAGTGTTGCAGTGCACAAAGGATCACTACCACATACTGGCATGCGTGCCTTGACGGCATTGTCAACGGCTTGTCGGTTTGGTACAACGTAAGCTGAGGCAGTGGCACCGAGGGCCAAAAGAGTGATAGTAGAAAATCTCATATTGAAAAGGATAGAAAGTTGTCTGTGTCTGACTGTGTTTGGAAGAGAAATTGAATGAAAGGATCTGCCTGCAGAGACGAAGAGAATGTGTCGAAATGGAGCAAGTGATGAGAAGGAATGAGCACGTTCAACGTTGATGCTCTTTTTTCTCCGCAAGGTGGGGATGGTTTTATACAAGAAAGCCCACGATGGATTTGCTGGATAGACAAGCTTTGACAGACGTACATATGCGGGTCCGGGCCATGAGACAGCCCTGCATTGCTTGACGGACAGAAGCGGACAGGCTGGTGGTGGCTCCGCCAATCTACAGTTCATCAAGACGACATGGTAGTGTGCAGGCCAGGTAGCGGGTAGTCAAACATGACGACTCGTGACAGGTTGTCCTGTCCACCACTCACGCCATTGACAAGTGAATCAAGCATTGCCAAAGCTTAGCTGGCATACCAAGGACACCAGACGATTGGAACCGAATTCATGCTAGATTGATAGTACGATCTAGCCTATTTCCAACCTTTCAAGGTTGAGAGCCAATCACGGCCGTTTCGATACTTCGGCGTGACAGGTTCTAGGGCCAACGGGGGTGGAGGCCAGACTCATGCCATGTCGCTTCTGTCAATCTAACAGCGGCAGCGCGTGCGACGCTCTGCGGCATTTTGCCCCCAACCGGATTATTCGGCGAGGCTGTGTAGTGGTGAGGGTGGGAGGAAGGTGGTAGGCCACGCGAGAATACCAGCACTGCGGTTGTTCCAAGTGCGTGTCAAAGTCGAACGGGCAAGCACATGTTTTGCCTAGCGGCGCCAAGTCTGAAACGCTGGTGTGGTTATGAACATTCACTCTTGGCTAAGCGACTGTATGGAACACCGAGACACGGCTTAGCCAACCAAGAGGCTGAGACGCCTCCGCTTTGCTTGTCTCACAATGCTTGGAAAAAGCTTGATTGCCGTTTTACCATGCGCCTAAAAGCTTAGCATACGGTTTGACAATGCGCTCGACGCGGCGTGCAAGGCTATTGTTGCCTGCTCCAGAAGACGGCGTCTGGTAGGCTATCTTGCACCAACAGACGGAACAAGACGGCGGAGTTGTTCCATGTCCTCCGCGTTTTACAGATCTAACTAGTGATACATTGAGCATTAGGAGGATTCGTGGCTGAGAATGGCTGTGTAAAGTAGAGTCCCGCCTACTCCCTTTCTTTTCGCCAACACACGTCACACTTGATTTTGTCCTTTGTCACACTGCTGAGCAGGTACTTTCCTTCTATCGCAGGTCGACTAATTTTATTTGTGGCATTTTTTGTTATTTCTGTCTGATTCGTTACTTTCACTATCTACTCCAAACTCTATTCACCATGGAAAAATACACAGACAACCACTCGCAAGATGCTGACTCTGAAAGCGCAACTCTCATAGCCTCGGAGTCTCTCCGTGACGAGACATCACAACGGCGCCAAAACTTTGTGTGGCTCACACTTCTCAACCTCTTCATCTTTGTCATATCCATGCTCTCCATGGTATGCACTGTGATGACGCAACGGGATCCCTCCGGCAATACAGCCGCCCAACTCATGGACCAATTCGGTATTTTCTGTATGACAACACCCGAATTTCCGAACTACTCAGCCTAGTATCAAAGTAACTAACATGCCTCCCAAGCACCGTTAATGCACCAAGTCGAATACACCCACACTCAATTCTCCTTTGCCTCCCCCCTGAACTCCTCAAAATACGTCGGCACAACCGACGAAGTCGACGACGCATGGATGGACATTGCATTCCGTAAGTCCCCATCCCCCCTGCAACCAAAACCCCCCAATCCAATCTAACATCGCAACCAGTCCCCGACCAAATGGTCTCCAAATCCGACTTCCCCAGACTAAACAAGCCCACCGACGCCGCCCAAGTCACCGATTCCAAAACCGGCGAAACAGGATACCGCGTCGGCCTAGAAGTCTTCCACCAACTCCACTGCCTAAATCTACTCCGCATGGCCACCTACCCCGAGCACTACACCAAAGTCTCCTGGAGCGACACCAACGACGACGCCGCCAAGGTCCGTGGACATCTAGGTACGTAAATCCCTCCTCCCCCCCTTGCCGAACTTACCCCGTATGCGACAAAAGCGTTGCTAATACAAAAACAAATATAGATCACTGCATAGAAATCCTCCGTGTAAACCTCATGTGTCTCTCCGACGTCAACGTCTTCACATTCCATCCCAAAGAAGGCCTCGAGGGACACTGGCCTGACTACAATACTAACCATGTGTGTCGGAATTTCGACGCGATTAAGGAGTATGCGCGTGAGCATGGGATGCCGCAGGCGGATGTTTGAGATGAGCATGTGTACGAGTTTTTTGAGGAAAGAAAGGGAAGGGGGGTTTGAGCGTTATTGGTGAAATATGTAGATTGGGTTAAGGAATAATGTAGATATAATATGTATAATATCTTTTCTGAATGTTGGATGAGCATGGTGTTATGTGGATGTGACTGCGTCGATGGGGGGGCGGGAACTTAATCTGTGATCTGAAACGGTCAACATAAAGTTTCGATGCATGCAATTCAGACGGATGATCGATACACACAGACAACCATGCAGCATTCATCTTTTTATATTGTTACACATTGCGGCTCATCGTATTGAATCCTCATGATGTCACATATGATACATGGGCGCTGCTATTGAGCGCAAACATCTGTCCCCGTAGCGACATATCGTGGGCCAGGTCATCCTCAAACTTGTTACAGCAGAGTTATCTCTGGATAATTTTCCTCCGCAACCCTCCTACTCCACCCCCCCAATTGACCAAAGTTCGTGAAAAGCGAGGAGTATACCTGTCCAGCGATGCAATGCATGTCCAAAGAAAAAAAATATTTCCCTTCAACTCCCAGGAGCGTAGACCGTGGCCTGAAATCTTACACAATAACCTCACCGCAATCGACGTAGTTTGGTCGCCATTTGCTGGTGTCGAGTTCGCCCTCTGTGCTGCTAGGTACTGTCACCTCGACGGGCTTGTACAGATACCACGCCTTCAATGCTGCTGCCGCTGCTCTTGTCCTTGCCTCGTTCAATGAGCTGCCTGCTCCCTCACCTAGCTTGTCCTTGCCACTGTATACACCTACAACAAACACCGGGTGCCTACTTAGACGACCAGTCTCAGAAACGAGTCGGGCAATTGGCGGCTCAAAGCCCTCTCGTGCGCACAGTGTTGAGAGATCCCGGGTGGGTGTGCGGAAATCGAATAGCGTGCTAATGTCAAGATGCCTGCTAAGGAAATGGTCGCGGAAAAAGCGCTTAACAAGAGGCGTGCCGAGGTGTTGGTGTAGTGCGCCAAAGAGGGCTCGGACAAATGACTGTGCTGCATCTTCCATGGGCACTCCTGTGTTTTGCAGGGAATGTGGGCTTGGTGCAGCACTATCCGAGCCAAATTCATCCGTCTTCATAATTTTGTGTGTTGTCGTGACGTTCCAGCTCCAGGGTGCTTGCCGCCTCAGGGCAGCTGGAATATCGTCGCCCGATCGTATCCGCTTGAATTGTAGCAAACCAGGGTCCACCTCACCACCGGGCTCGGCTGCGGCTTCAATACCCCATTCACGTGCAACGGTGGCTAGTGCTTTGGGACCAATGTATGCTTCTACTGCAGCAAAAACAACAGCCATTGGAAGCCGTGGGTAGTTGCATAGAATCCACTCGGAAGTGTAGTAACCAAGCAAGTGGCGTCCGAGTATCGACAGTGAGGCATTGTTGAAGGCAGGATTAGGATCTGCCGAAGGATGTACAAGGGTTCGTGCGAGAGCCTGGAGGGGAAAGCGGGGAGGTAGTGATAGTCGACTTCGGAGGGCGTGGAGTTTTATTGAGTGCTCGGCGGCATGTGGGTGTGGGGAGGGAAGGCTCTCAAGTGGGAGAGGCTGCGAGCCTGCGGGCCGCGACTTTGATGCTGAAGAAGCAGGGGAATTCGCTGCTATTTCGATTTCCAGGTCGCCATCGTGTGGTATGGCAACGGTAGTTTGGAAGCGGGCGTGTGTGCGGTTGCTATGTGGTGCAATGCCTCTTTGAGCATTCTTCGCCGCGGCATATGGGCACGAGGGTCGGCGGGGGATTGGTTGGGCCAGCAATTGCGAGGCACATCTTGATATGGGTATGCGCTTCATGGGGAAACGGCGCAGAATCAGCGGACAGAGGGTGGGAGCAAGGCGGAGTCGGCGGCAGCAGCAATTGGTCGCTCGTGTCGTCTTCTTGTCGGACGATGATGGCGATGCCAAAGAATTTCCGCCAAGCCCGCGTACACGAGGCCCGTGCTAGCCCTATGCATGCGACAGCGACCTCATACCAGCTCCGACTCCAGCAACCCCACGAAGTCCCGCACATTCACAACCACAATGGGCGGCGGAGGAAAGATCCCGTACGATATTAGACGACCTCATTGATTGCTGCTCCGACGCTAAGCATTGAGCAGATACCCCAAGCACGTCTGGTCGCCGGCCGGTGGCTGGTACGCCCAACCCGCAAACTGGAAAGCCAACACGGCTGTTGTAGGCCTCGCCCTCGGCAGCATCGTCGGCATGGCCTGGATGCTCAGCGCGAACCGTGAATACCGCGACAAGATGCCCGAACGCCACAGGTTCTTCCCCAGCCGATAGTACGCCTCGCGTCCTCCACCCCGCGCGACACGCCCACCGCTAACCATTGCACAGCTGGAGCAAGCAGATCAGAGAGCACGAGCGGAAACAGGACCAAAGCTTGATTGAGAAGACTTTTGGAAATTAGCGGATGTATCAGGGACTGGGAGAACTGAGGGTGTTGCAGCAACAAAGGCTATGGCTGTATATAACTAGCCAACCGCTGCTTGAAATCTGAAAGCCTATCTTCGACACAAACACCGTTCCATGTCTCTCCCTGGGCCGAGTGAGAGAGCACAGGCATGCCGACTTGTTCAATGGCAAAGCTGGCTGATATTGACCCCCACATTGCACCATTCTCCACATTCTCCATGACTGAGCTAGACTTGCCGCGCAGCACGCCAACCGCAAGGCCACCTAGGAAGCTGTTGCCTCCGCCCGTAGGGTCAGCGACCTTCTCTGCCGACTGGTGGTATGCAGGCATCCATTTGCGCTGCCCTTTGCGTGCTATCAAGCAGCCGTCTTTTCCGCACCGCACCACAACTGCTCCCTTCCCGTCTGGCCCGATGCCACTATCCAACCACTGACTGGTCAAGTCTTCAATTGTTCGGTAGTCGACTTGATCTAGGCCATCTGTGTTTTTGCCAAAGAAGCCGCCAAGCTCACCATGATTAGGGCTAATGATGTCAATGTACTTGAGTGCTTTTAGACAGTTGTCGAACTCATCGGTTGTACACAGATCAGGCACAGGCTCCCAAATGAAGATTGGACGACGCGCCTCAGCCGACTTGTCTTGTTGCTTGCGTAGTGCGAGGATGTTTTCCACCAGGTCAATGCAGCGTAAGGGTGAACAGATCAAGTGGAAGGACTTGGACCAAAGCAATGGCGTGCCTTGAAGCGCCTGATGGTCTAGACGCAGCTTGGGCGTCAGGTATCGGAAAGCTGCACATGTTGGTCAAGATTGCAAATACACTAACGTGGGTTGCACGCACCTCGGTGCTCGTTGCCACCCACATAGCCATTCCATCCACGCGTAGTCAGCCGGTCAGGCGTTTCTCGCATTAGCACCCCAGTGTCCCACTGCGCAATATAGTCGCGTAGTTGGTGAGGAAAGTCTGATCCGCAATCTACAATCCAGCCCACGCTTCGTGACTGGGGCGGGGGAGAGAAGATGCGTGCGCCTAGTGCGGAGTATGTTCCTGCTCCTCCGACAATGTCCTTGACCGGGGGTTTTGGTGGGGGGAATTCAATCTCATCTTGGACCATTTAGTGTACTGCCGCGTCCGCATCGAGTATCCAGAGCATACCGATGATGAACATGCCTAGGGTGCAAAAGTCTATATTGCTGCCATGGTCGGCCATTTTGGAGGCTACGAAGTCGGCTAAGGTGATGTGTAAGTAATAAGTATGTCAGTAGTCAGTAGTCAGTAGACCACCGACCACTGACGTGCAGTCGGCCGCCCGACTACGCTTGGCTGCAGACGGCTAGCGCAACGTGGGCAGCCGTGGCCATGCGCCCATGCGCCCTGGACAGGTCGACCTTGGATCTTCAATTGCGCCGTCTTGTAATCTTTTGCTCAATAGCTCTGCTCACCAGGATCCAGGCTCGACTGCCATCTCCCCATAGCCAATCGTCGTCTTCCACACGCTCGAAGCGTTCCCCGAGCTGCAGGGCGCCGTGACCTGCCCTCCTTCCCCGAGCCTGAAGCTAGCCCAAGCAAACGCTCCTGCCTGCCATACAAACGCTCCACCGCGCCTTCCCCGCATGGCCAACAACATGAATAATCTGACGACGCTGATCAAGCGGTGAGTTGCTGCCAAACTTTTTTCCCTCAGGCCCCACAGCTCTGTGTCTACACAGCGCTGCCCCTCCCATCATACCATACCACCAGCCAGGTCCTCCCCGCCCTGCCCTGCCCTACAACTACTTCAGAAAATGGCCGATGGCCCTAATCAGTCACACGTCCTGGGCCGTCCTGGGCAGATTCGTATCGAAGCAGACAATGTGCTGACTTCCATGATCCTCAGGCTTGAAGCCGCTACCTCACGTCTCGAAGACATTGCCAGTTCAGCCCTCCCAGCCGGCAGCGATGGACTTGGCAGCTTCAATGGAGCCTCGACAAGTGCCACTCCTGGCGCCACACAATCAAATACCAATGCAAGCACCCCCAAGCTAGTGGCCGAGGCGGCGTTGCCCCCAGCAATTGAGGCCTTCGATGAGCTGGTCAACTCGGAGCTCAAGAACTGGCTGGAGTTGAGTGGAAAGTTGGGTTCCGTCATCGAGGGCCAGTCCAAGGCAGTCGAAGGTGCTTTCGCTGCCGAGCGTCAGTTCCTCTTCATCGCCAACAAGGCCAAGAAGCCCGACGACCGCACCCTGATGGAGCTTCTGAAGGACCTCCAGGCAAACATGGAGAAGACGGATGAGTTCAGACAGAGCAACCGAGAACCCTCTCTCAAGGACCCGCTCTCTATGGTTGCCGACGGTGTGGGATCTCTTGGTTGGGTTACCATTGGCCAGGGCGGAGGCATGAAGCCCCATGAGCACATCAACGAGCTGGTTGGCGGAGCTCAGATGTACGGCAATAAGGTGCTTAAGGAGTATCGCGACAAGTACGGATTTCCCCTCAATCTTGGTTTGGCACGTAGCTGACATATGCAGACCCGAGGGTGAAGTCCATGTCAAGTGGGTTCAAGCTTACTACAAGCTGTTTAAAGCCCTCGCCGAATACGCAAAGAAGCACCACACCACCGGTGTAGCCTGGAACAGCAATGGCATCGACGCCAAGGAAGCTGCAAAGCAAATCTCTGGTGGATCCAGCATACCCGCTCCTCCAGCAGGAGGCGTCCCACCACCTCCCCCACCACCAGGCCCACCACCACCACCTGGTGCCGCGCCCCCAGCTAAGAAGGCTGCACCTGATATGAATGCTGTTTTTGGTGAGCTCAACAAGGGCTCAGACGTAACAAAGGGACTTCGCAAGGTTGACCAGAGCCAAATGACACATAAGAACCCGTCATTGCGAGCAAGCGCGCCAGTCCCTTCACGTAGCGATAGTACCGGCAGTCTGAGGAGTAAGAGCCCTGCACCACCCAAGGCAAAGAAACCGGAAAGCATGCGGACGAAGAAGCCCCCAAAGAAGGAGCTGGACGGAAACAAGTGGATAATAGTATGTTTTGCCCAAGTGACGCATCGTCTGGATGCTAACATTTTGCCAGGACAATTTTGACTCGCCGAGCGAAATGATTGAAATTGATGCCGAGATCAACCACTCCATCCTCATTTCCCGTTGCAAGAACACGACTATCCGCATCAACGGCAAGGCCAATGCCCTCTCCCTCGACAACTCGTCACGCACATCTCTCATCATCGACTCCATGGTCAGCTCAGTCGATGTGATCAAGTGCCCCAACTTTGCCCTCCAAGTCATTGGAACCCTGCCTACTATTCTGCTCGACCAGGTCGACGGCGCCACCATATACCTCTCCAAGGACTCATTAGCAACTGAGGTTTTTACCAGCAAGTGCAGCAGCGTCAACATCAACCTGCCAACCGAAGATGACTATGTAGAAAACCCGCTACCAGAACAGATCCGGAGCTATGTTCAGGATGGCAAGCTTGTCAGTGAGATTGTCGAGCATGCGGGTTAGGGAGCCGGCTAGACATTGAGCTGTATTGGACAAGATTTGGATATAGGTCTTGGTGATTTAGTGTGAACTGGACACGTTGGGTGGTGGAGGTTTTCTCTTTGGGGGAAAATTATGCCCTCGTGTTGCTGTAGCATACAAAACTCATTCATAGAACCTATCCTCATGCTGCCATGATGTGTGTGTATGATCTGTTCCGGGTCTAGTGTCTTGCCTGTGATACCAATTTGATTGCTTTGTCCTCGACACATAATAGAGTAAAAAGGGCTTCATTCATTGCTGTCTATAACGGAAAAGAATTGCTGCAACTATTCTCAATCTACGGACTAAGCTCAAAAGAAGAACTATGATAAAAGAGTCGTAAGAAAGTAAAGATAAAAAAAACAGCCGAAATGACAAAGGAAGCAAGGTGGGTATCAATGTCCGACTGATATATTGACCATGTAATCGTGAAAGAGAAATGAAAAAAGGTGGTGAAGAAGAAGAAGAAGAAGAAGAAGAAGAAGAAGAAGAAGAAGAAAAAAGATATATACGCGTGGTAAGTCGCAAGAAAGCTCAAAAGAAGACGCTTGATACTTTGAAGCCAAAAAAAAAAGAATCCCGTGCGTGCCCGAGAAGGAAAAAAACAAAGGTCGTCGCAAAAGATTCATTTCCAAGTGCTCAAGTTTATTCGCCGTTGGCACATAAAAGACACTTCCATTCCATTCCTCTTCCTCGTTCCCTCGTCACGCCAACGTCGACAGTTTTTGGCTGCCCCCCCCCCCCAAAAAAAGGGAAGAAGGAAGACCTGTCGTGTTTCAACTGCAACCTCCACCCACCTCGGAACGTTTGTCACCCGAGAAGAAAACAAAACGTTTTAGGAACCCGTCCGCCTCACCGTCCCTCAAAGAAAAAACCGTTAAAGTTTTGGGGACAGAAAATTAGTCGAAACACGTTTCCGCCGAGTATCATCTTGGCGGTATACATGTTTGAACAATCTCCGTTCTTCTTTCTCTGGGGATAGTATCTGATTGAAAATGCCATTTTCTTTACCACCCCCCAGCAGGTTCAATGCGACGCGTCTGGGTTTGGAAGTAGCCGTCAAAGACGCTGAGTTCGGGCTTGCGGGGCGCAGGCGCAACAGGTGCAGAAACCGTATTCTCCGAGATGTCGACGAGGGTGGCGGTTGAGGTGCCGTTGTTGAGACCGAGGGAGGCAGCGGTTTGGCCGCTGAAGCCGCCGCCGTCTAAGCTTCGGCGTCGGCCGCCTGTGACTTTGCCGCTGTTTAGACTGGCAAGGACGTAGCTCATTTTGATTCGCTCTTTTGGTCGGGGCAGGATCATCTTCTCGATGATGCTGAGCCACTCCGCTTCTGCTTTGAGTTGCCTCTGCTTTCTACCGGATCCAATGAGTCCTGTTCGGAGACTCGAAGTAGTGGTTGCGTGTAAACGGTTCCTCCAGCTTGCTACTCGGTCAAGGTGTGCGTGGAAAGACGTGTCTTGCGTTGAAGCTGCTCTGTGCTGTGCGAAACCCGACAGTGATTGACCGTGCGCTACGGTCATCATCGACAGAAACACGCATCCGAGTGAGAAGACGTCTGCCATCCTCTTTCCACGCGAGTGTGTGTGGATGGCTTCTGGTGCGGCATAAACATACGACTGGTCCTGCATGATTGTGTTCAGCTGGTCAATTCGTAGTGTCTCGGCCATTGTTGGACTGAACGCGTCAACGCTCTGACCAATGTCGAAAGGCGCAAAAAAGACACGCGCTCCATCAATCAAGATTTTGCGTGGTCGAATGTTGCGATGGCAGATGGACTGTGAATGCAGATATTCAAGTGCAGACGATAAATCCTGCATCCAGTCCACAAGCAACTTGGAACGGCCCGGGTCGCTGCCAGGCAGCGCTAAGAAGTCGTCCAGACTGTACTGTGCCTTTTCCGTCAAGATACCCACATGGTTTGGCTGGGCATAGGAACAAAGCAGCTTGGCAATGTTCTTGTGTTCAAACTGTCTGAAACGGAGGATCTGCTCCAGTAGTGCGACTTTCTGAGCTGGACGAGCGGTGACAAACCGCTTTCGAACCAAAACACGGTCGTCGTTGCCGAGCATCCGAATACGGTCCACACTCTTTTCAGAGTTGCGCGATGATCGGAGAAGACTCAGGTGCTGCAGCGGAAGCGTTTCCCTGGTAGTGAAGTCCACGTGACCTCCATTCAATGGTAGTTCCTTGGACGTAGCGCGCCATTGCTCCTCGACAACTTTGTGTGCGTTTGCTACGATACCTTGGAGGCGTTCCTCGGGGAATGGCAAGCTTTCATCTCTCAGGTCGAAGAAGGAAGCCTGTCGCCACGATGCCACGTCGTCGCATACATACAAAAGTATCGCAAGCCTGGGGTTCGACAGGGTCCACTGCCAAATCTTCTTTACCAGGCCGGCATCCCAGCCTTGCTTTCGGACAAGCTCGTAAAACCATCCAGACAATGACTGGCCCTGAGATGACAGGATAGATGTATTGATAAACCCATTTACCAAGGGCACTAGCGGGGGAGGTGGAGGGAGAGGTTGGCGATATGGATTAGGCGAGCCGGGGTAATCGCCGTTTCTGAACGATTCTCCGTTTGCCGATGGAGGCGGAGACAATGGTGCAAATCCAGCTACCGCATTTATGATTCGTATTGGTTGGGGGGCGAGAGGCGTTGTGGAACGACTGTACTGGGGAGTGCGGTCTGGGCTGCTTTTGGGCGACGAGGAATCTGTAGATTTATTCGAGTATGTAGAAGCCGGGCTGGTCATCACATTGGACCATGGGTTGTTGTTCATTTTTGTGGGCGTGGTGCTCCGACTAGTGCAAGATGAAACAGACGATGTCGCTGGAGACGAAGCATCGCGACTGTTGTACCATGACTGGTCATTTTGGAGGTTGACCATGGATATGGTATGCTGCAGACCATGCTGAGGCTTGGGGTACTCCATCGCAGGCGTGCGCCATGGAGAGTTTGAAGCGTGCTGCATGGCTGCAGTGTTTGGATATGACGGAGTTGGGCAAGTGACGGGGGAGCCAAGTGGTGGGCTATAGCAGAGTGGGCGGATGTGGATATAGCCGGGGGGTTAACAGCGAGGGTCAAGTCAAGCGTGTCGAGACTGCAAAAGAATGCAGAATCAAAAGCAAATAGCAAGAAGCAGCACGAGAGAGTGAGGAATGCGAGAGACTGGACTGAAGAGAAGTTCGGGACCAGGAGCCCTTGTCCACGGAAGAAGTACAGCGGCAGCCTTCGGGCAGCGTCAGTCTGGTCGGACGCGGACAGGGCACAGTAAGGCTGCCCTCAGCGTCGGGCTAGAGGCTTTTGATGTGCTGGCAGACAAGCAGCGCGTGTTTACTAACGTATTAGTGGAGGGCGACAATATATGGCCTTCTTCGGTGGGTGTATGTGTTGGGCGACTGCAGGCTGGGCACGAGCGCAACCCATGCGGGTTAGCAGTATGCAGGCGAACGTGGCCGCCTCAGAGTCGCCTTCGAGGACAAAGGCATTGGATATGCATATGTTCGCGCGCAGGCGTTGCCGTATGGTGCCAGATCACCCGGCATCTTGACATGTAAGTAGATGGATGTATGCGATCCGTTCCGAAGCCAGCAGAGGCTGCCGGCCGCGTGCCTGGGTGCTGGCCATGACGATTGCGGGCACAATTTGTGTAGGAGCTTGTGCACGACACAGACACAGATGGACGGCAGACGGGACGCAAGGGCAGTGCCGTCGCTGTGGGGATTTAAGCCGACACGTTGCTGGTGTGGTGGATGTGTGTGGCGCGTAAGAATGGGTGCAGACGACACAAGCTTCCGAGTCACGCGGCTCACCGGTACTTCTGGGCGGTGGCCGGCAGGGAAGAACGTATCTCCGTGTGTGGCTTCGGCATGACGTCCCTCGACATCTCACCCTGCATCCGTGGCAGGTGGCTGGTAGTGGAGACGGACCGTTGGTGGTGAGTGAGCGTATACTATACACTACACTAACTACACACTCGCACTCTCATACATACGCCCTGGCGATACGCCTGCGAGAGCCACTGACGGCCCACATTGACAGCGGGCGTTCCCCCCCGTGTCAAGTTTGGGCTCGTACAAGCTTCGAGATGACGGCCAGGGGGGGGGGGGTGCACAAAGCCCTGCTGAGGCTCAAAAGATGCCTGAGGTCGGCTCAGGACCCTCTTCAGCGGCCCCCGGCTGAAACCACAGGCCCGGGAGAGGTGGCACGGCGGACGCTCATTGGTGCGGAGAGCGGAGTCACGTGAGCTCCTAGCGCAGTTCTGAAGCGCCCCTAGTTTGAGCACCGTTGCCCAGCTCCAGACCTCAACACCAATTGTCTCAAGGAGTCCAGTATCATCATGCTGCCTATATTCCCATCCGCAAACTGCTCGACCTCCGAGCTCAAGCCCTGTTGGCTGGCCCCAGATCGGGCCCCATAATGCTAATTCCGGCTCATTCCCTATTGCCGTCACTTCCTCGCATGGAAATCTTGGTGCCACCCGTCACAGCTTCAAGCACATGTCGTCTCAACTCCCTTATGCGAGCTTCAGCAGGGCTCGGTGTTGCTTTGCGAGTCTGGCGCCCGAGCTAGTCACGCCATTACTAACACCACGTCCACCCGATCCACACGCGCATGCGTTTTCCGCACCGCGTTTCTTCATGCTGTGACTGCCGCTTCGCCCTTCCCTTCTTCTAATCTGATTGCTAATGACACTACCGATGCCCGTTTCCTTTGCTCGGTGAGAAACTTTTGCGCCCTCATTCTTCTCTTCTCTTCCACTCTTTTTTTTTCAGCACCAACGCTGCTGGGCAGCCAGCCATATTAACACTACCGACTTTAATACTCACCGTCGACTAATACATCTCCATTATGTTCTTCACACGCGCCCTGGTTGGCACTTTGCTTGCTGCTGGACACGCAACTGCTTTCAAGGGTCGTCAGGTGAACGCTCTTCTTCAGCCGGGTCTGGATATGGAGGAGGTACTTCGACGGGACGCAGGGCGCATGGCCACCCTTACTCGACGACAAGACGCAAACCCTGCCGACACTGCACCACTCGCCTCATTAACACCGTCGACTGGTGATGCATCGAATGTGAACTTGGCTCAATGGGAGGAGCAGACAAGGACGGCATGCATGAGGACCCTAAGCAACCTCAACGGCCAAGCATCAAACCCAAGTGGAATCGCCGTCTGCTACAACCTACCCTTCCTCGACAACACGACTGGTGTCTTCCAGGCCGAACTCCGAATGTACAATGTCTCGGCTCCTATTGATCCATGGGTTGGCGTCACTGCCGCCGATGTGAGCATGACTCTATCCTACCTTGGCGCAACCGTACAGAACATGCAAGGCAACTTTGCGAAGCGAGAGGTTGTCGCGTCAATCAGTGAAGGCAAGCTGGTTGAGAGGCAGGACATCAACGGCATGACACAGTTGAAGGTCCTTATGTATGTTGGAAGGATCAACGAGAACCTCATGGGCTCAGCCATGACCCAGTAAGTGACAACGCTTTGTTGTCGTGATACATCTTCTAACCATATCACAGAGAATCGCTACAGCCTCTTCTCGTTCCCCAGATTGATCTCGCCGCCAAGAACCCTGTTACTGGTCGGGATGTCGAGACTACGCTTTCATCTCAAGAAGCGTCATTCGTCAACGGTATCTTTTCTCGCGCCGGCACCGCCCCTACCAACGCCGATCCTCAAGCGGCCGCATCAGCATCTGCTGCCGTCGCCTCTGCTGCGCCATTTGTCGTCCCCGGAACCGCCTTGGCCTTCTTCCCCATCGGCCTCGTCGTCACTTCAGTCTGGGCCTTCTTCTTTTTCCTTGCCGTCGGCTTCGGAACATACGGCCGTATCCAATACCGCGACCAATACAGGAGGCGTGTAAGAGCTGAGTTGGCTCGTGGTGTCCGTACCATTTAATCCAACCTACTCATCTCTCTCTTCCCTCCACAAACTCCCCCAACCTTTTCCTAAATTGAAAATTTCGTTATATTTTTTCATGTTTAAACTCGAAAGTTTTTATCCCCTAGGAACAAAAAAAAGAGGTTTAAACTACTATGAAGATTACGTTCGCTTGGATACCCCTTCCACTTTATACATATTTGTACATAATTTTGGTTAGGGCGTGTGTGTGTGTGGTGTAGCGGGCCGTTTATCTCTCTCATCCCTACTAATCACTCCTACACCTCCTACACCTCCCCCCTCCACTTTTCCTTTCTCCATATCCTCCCTATCCTGGCGATGAGAGTTTCTTCCCCCTTCCCCCACTGTTAGCAGCGCAGAACACAAGTTCGAAAAAGAAAAAAGAAAACATTATATAAGAAAGAGAGAGATGTTTTCAAAACATTTTAAACAATTCAATGTATTTGATCAATTCGTCGCCCCTTTTGCTCACTTGATGTTTTTCCTTGTGTAACTTCAAGTCCACTGGTCTACCAAAGCAGGGGTCTACACTGCGAGCCCTTGGCCGGTGCTTCCGCAGTACACACACAAGCAGCAGATTACGCGCTCGTGCGCCCTTTTTGTCTCTTTGTGGAGATTGCAAGGGGTGTGTCGGGAATCTGATCGACCTATACCATGTCTCCCTCCGCTCATCTTACTCGGACACTGGAGTAACCGTAGGGCTAATTACAACGACTTTGATACGTCTCTCGCAGCCGCTGACTACTACACTTCATATCCTCGAAGATATCTCTTCCCCCGCACTACCTTTGTACTACGATGCGCACGAGTCGACCGTACAGCGGGGTAAGTCCGTAATGGTAGTGGTAGGGAAAGAAAAAGGTGAATGCAGATGTCACACAGACGAACCAGAAGCGTCATGCGCATACGCTATCTCTCCGTTTGCGCACCCTCGGCGTGAACAAACGGGCTTCACTTACTCGATGGGCTCTACCTAGCGCAACGAGCGGCGTCGGGCTCACGTGCGTGCGTGTGTGTGTGTGTGTGTGTGTGTGTGTGTGTAAACGGACGGCGTCGTCACTTCTCACCGCTGCGTCTACCTCTGACATAAAACTCTATTACTTTGTCGCTCAATCTGGTAACTGAGTACCTTGCATACATTCGAATATCCTTCTTCATACATACTACGACTTCACCCTTGCGAATCATGCTTCTAACAGGCTTGATCGCGCTACTCCTTGCGACCATCGTTGCTGCGACTGCGATCGAGCAGCGCGGTACTACCAACTGCGATGTTTGCATTCAGCTCTTCAACTTTTGTGTCGAGGTGAGATAGTGATGTCCCCGTCCCCCACCCTCTCGTCGAGAAGAGAGAAAGAAAAAGAAGAAAGGCTAACGACGCATTGGGAGATAGAACGGACATACACCAGGTCAGGAGGGTTGCAAGAAGACGTATGCGGAGCATGTGTGTCATTTGTTTCGGCATGAGGGGAATGAGGTATGTTTCTGTTCTCTTATCTCGCTATGGGGGGTTTTGCTGACATGTGATGGGTAGTGCAGGGACTGCGGGGAGATGTTCAGTGCTTGTGCTGGGAAGCCTCGGTATTGAGTCTAGAGGGCTTGGAGGAGAAGGATTGGGTTGAGGCCTATTGGAGTATGATGGGGATCATGGAATAGAATCCTGGATGGAGGGGAAGATGTAAGGGGATAAGGTAGTAAGGAAGAGGCATTTGGTGGTACACCATGACTCAACATCACGACTTAGTCTTCGGCTATGAAAATACTGTTTGGCGGGGGATTCACACCATACAGCACTACAGATTGCCCTTGATTTCTACCCACTCCCCCTTCTCAACCCTCTCACACATCTCCTTGAGCGTCTTGGCTGCCCACTCAAAGTCCTGCATCTCGAGGTACACTTGCGCGCTCAGTCGTGACCACCAAGATCCCGCATACCAGTACACCATGATGAATGTGTCGTACTCTTCGCTACTCAGCTTCTTCATCCAATCCCTCACCTTGATACCCACGTCATCCTTGTCGATACCACTATTCGCCGCGGTATGGAATACTTTGTCCAGCGAGATAGGTAGCCGGACGTTGGACAAGCAGCACTGGCCCATGGTACCCGTGCTGTTCTCGAGCACTTCCGTTCCAAGAACAGACGCTACGTGCTTTCCAGCCGCCTGCGCAAGTGTATGACAGTATTTGCGGATCATAGCCTCGCCGCCGATGGTTTCTCGCCATTCCAACGCCTTGGGGATGCACAGGTATGGACTCGAATCAATGGTCCCTACGTACTCGAAGTTTGCAATGAAGGCCGGCTTTTCAAGTTTCACAGATGCGGATTGCTCAGATGTGTTTTGCTCTGCGCCTGGTTTGGTAAACGAGGGCTTGGGGAACGGCGAGACGAATTGTGCGCCCTTAGGCAAGAAGCCGTGAGAAGTGGGCAGAGTGCTGCGGATCATGGCTTGGTTCCTGTGTGCGACGTGGAAGATTGCGCAGCCACGGGGGACATGAAGCCATCTTGTTTCTCACATCAGCCTATGCGTGAGAGCGGGACATGAAGAACTCACTTATGGCAGTTGCTCACGAAAAAATCAGGATCCAGGGCACCCAGATCAATCTCAACATGTCCGACGCCGTGCGCTCCATCGATGCAACTCAATACACCCAGCTCTTTACTCTTGGCTGTTAAGCGTTCGAATGGTAGACGCACACCAGGCATGCTGACTACAGTATCGAAGATTGCAATCTTGACTTTTCCACCCTTAGCTTCAACCTCTTTGACTTTCTTTTCGTATTCCGCAACGAGCCAGTCGTCCTCAACGGGAAAGGTGTACTCCACCTTGACAGACTGGGCGGGTGTATTCTCAGTGATGTAAGCCACTGTCTTCTCACAAGCCCCGTAAATGGTACTGAACATGAGAATGTGGTCGCCTGGGGTAAAAGTCAAATTACGCAAAACGGTGTTTACACCTGTCGTAGCGTTGGGAACAAAAACTAGAGTGGAAGAGGGTGTGTTGAGAAGCTTGCCCATGGCTTCTCGTGCTTCATCTAGATACCGAGGATAGTCGTAGACGATGAATTGGTCGGGTCGGGCCTCAGAAGCATCTTGGAAGGCGCGGAACCTGTCCTGTACAGTACGCGGGTATGTGCCAAAGGAGCCTGAGATTTGTTAAAGGGATGTCGCGATCGATGGAGCTTTAATATGAGATGGCTTGATATACCATGATTCAAGTTCAGGAATCCTCTGTCGAAGAGAAACGCCTCGTCTCGGAGCTCCTTTCCAAACCAAAGGCCATCCTTTGTCTTAGTGTCGGGAACACCGTACTTTGCGTTTGACGTCATGATAGGGAGAAGTCTTTGTAGCAAAGGATACTACTTGTGATATTGGAAGACCTTCCGGGCCTCAACTATATACCCAAATGATGGTGAGTCAATCATATGATGACTGGTCAATTTGCGAGCATGCTTTGATGCAACCTGCATTCTGGGCGTTGTAGCACGCCCTTTGGTGTCATACTAACAACAGTTATTGACCAATCGGCGCTCATGGCGGCTACTACCGGACTTTTGCTCCACAGATAACTGAGCTTGGATGATAATTCTGCTGACATTCTGTTGAAGGAGGGTATATTGGTCATGGGGTTTGAATGTAGCGGTAACTATGGGACATCGTATTTTATATAGTATTCGATGGCGTCAGATAGCTTGTTTGTTAGGAGATCGTGCTTGTGTCGGTGGGGGAAGGTATAGCCGGCACCCCGTACCATAGATTCGTGCATTGTTATTGGCTCATCAATACGTGCTTGCTTGTAATCCCAATACCACGACATTCTTCTAGGTTAACAATCATCCTCTCAAACCAATTGTTCACAACACAAAGGGTTAATACTACAGCATGTTGTAAACAAAATCTCTACGTGAGACAAATCACATAATGGATATACTATTTGATCTCTCAAAGAATAGATTCATAGTAGAGCTGGCTATCAATGTTGACGGATGATTTTGATGGACAATTTTTTATTGTCAGTTTTATCGAATGGACGGCTTATGCATACATGAATGCTTCTGTTCCGATTGTGGTATGGATACTCCAAGCTGGTCTCGTCAGACAATCAATCGATATGGCAAAGCAGGCTATGCATTTGAGGCTCAGAACTTGGACATGAGCTGGGATCTAGCAGTAAAAGGCGGCCTTTCGACACAACCTTGAACTGACAAGTCAGCTCTAGCAAAACCCAGCTTTGTGCTTCTACTTGATAAATGCCACTTTGTCCGCTGAAGTACGTTCTGGCTTCATCTTGACATCTGGTGGGCTGGCTGTGGAACGCAAGACTACTGCAGTTGTCCCATTCGGGAAGGGAGGTTGGTGGTCTGTTTTACAGTAACTCCCCTAGAGGTAGCTGATCGATGTCTAGCGCGGCCTTTGAACCGTGAATGCTCATGCTGTGACGATGTCAATGTGATAGCTTGGCATTTTGTCGTCCTCGGATGCTGACTTTCTATGATATGCATCTTTTCAGCTCGTACGGTAGTTCATTCCTATCGGCCTCCGTATGCGTGCTATCGCGATGAGCCAAGTTTGTAATGAAATAGAATGCATTCCTCGTATTCAAGCACCTTCTGCTATCCTGCAAAGGCTGTCATGACTAGGAGGAATGCGGGTATTTATAATGCCCAAACGCCGTACCCATGATTAATCTACCCATCTACCTCTTCCTCGTTCGCTTTGGCGCCGGCTTGGGCTTCGCGCGATTGGTTCTCCGCGTGGTCGGCGCGCTATCTTCTTCGGACTCGACGCTGGATTCTTCTTCGTCCTCATCCTCGTCTTCTTCCTCAGCAGACTCGGAGACGGTGCTCCTCGGTTTGGCGTTCCTTGCCGAGTTAGCTGCAGACCTGGAGCTCTTTACGCTCTTTGCAGCCCTGGCCGGTCGTGTGCCTTTGGTATTCTTTGGTGTGGACGTTGCTTCCGTCACGCTCTCCGCCTTTTGTGAGCGCACGCCATCGGGCAGGTCTTTGAGCAGGCCGATTCCTGGCGCATAAATGTCCTTGTACTCGTCTGTCGGAACCATGGGCGGCGATGAAGCTACGACCGAATCTGGGCTATGGAAGCGCTTCCGCCACATCATCTCACCAAATTCCTCTTCGGGTAGTTCGAATTCGGGCAGGTTGGCAGCGTCGTCGGGGTCTAGCGGGTCTGGCTCGTCGGAAAAGGCAAATTCGTTCTCGCGTGTGTCGAGGGCATCCAGGTCGTACCACTGCGACAACTTCTTCCAGATGCCGGGGATGCGCGTGTGGGGTGCATCCTCTCCCGCGAAGCCATGCGAGCGCATATCGGTGTGAATACTAATCATACGGAAATGCTTGTGCAGGCCGGTGGGCTTCCACTTCATCATGCTCTTGAGGAGCTGCGTCTCCTGCTCGTCGGCCCATGGGTCGCTGAGAATCTCATCTTGCGCCTGCGCAGCGCCCGAGTCCTGGGGCGTCTTTGGCTGGGTGTCACCCAGCGGGGTCGAGGCTGCGCTGGCCTTTGCCTTTTTCCGAGGAGGCATTTCCCGCGAGTGAATAGTGATGACGGTGTGATTGTGGAAGGGTGAGCGGGAATGCGTGAGAAAATGGATACGCGACGCGAAGCTGCAGGTGCGTAGGGCTGAGCGCCCCCCAGTCCAGACAGGAACAGCGTCATACCCCTCCTACCCGACTACTCGACTGTGCCGCCGCCATGGAAGCGGGCGATTTGATTCACAATGTGTTCAGTAGCGATCGCCTGTGGGAGCAATCTTCCTTTTTTGATGTTAAAGAAGAGTCATCGCTCTTCACCCCGCTGCAGCTAGACAGTGAGCCGTCGCGTCCCTAAACCCTCCATGGAGACGCGTCTTGCTGACCTGCCCTAGTCGCTGCCATCCGTTTCGACCATCCATATGCACCCAAACATGACCTCGAACATGAGTTGCGGCTGCCAGACCTTGACACATTCGAATTTGGCCCTTTGCCGGACCTGGAGAGTCTGGATGAGTCCAGTATCGTCATTGACACGCCGCCCCTCGAGCCCGACGAAGATGTATGGCAGATAGCGCTTGAGCAAGGGCCCGCCAACAAAGATGTCTTGTTCTACACATGGGAGTCTTTTGAGAAGAGGCAGAACGTAGAAACTCCGTCACCATACCTTACCGAACATGGCCCCGAGGCGTTTGATGCCACACTAGTACGCGATGGCGAGAATCAAAGTTCTGGGAAGATACTCAAAGCCGACGTTCTCCTACAGTCGCTCTGGAACCTGGGACTGGGCCGCTCATCTATCCTCTTTCGCTTCAACCCCAAGTCGAAATCCTTTGAGCCTACCGTCCTCCAGGGGCGAGCGTCTGGACTGAGTCTGCAGGTTGCCCAGAGCTTCATTGCCTATTTCACCCATACCGGCAACACGTTTCTGTATTTGCGATCATTTGCCGAGCGTACTTTCGCTTCTGCTGCATCCATACCCGCGAAGGTTGCCCTGGCTACGTCTGTGTCAAGCATTCTCGCCAGTCTGGAACATGCCCTGGGAAAACAGTCTTCCAAGATTCGGTCTTTGATTCAGTTACAGCGCCAATTTTCGAAGCCTCGAAGCATTCTAATACATGTTGCGCGCATGGTTGATGCTGTGAAGCACGCAAAGACTAACGAGCAACTGTCTTCCATTCTGCATCACCGTCTTTTGGAAATCGAAGAGGGAGACGATCAGCTCCGCCAGTTGTCATGCCAGTTGCTCTGTCAAGTGGCTAGACCGAGCTTGGAGCTGCTTGGAGAATGGATGGGCATACGAAAAGAGCAGGCAGCCTTGCCCATCTGGCAACGTGACAGCTTCGTGACGGTAGAAGAGACTGCTGGTGATACATCAGCGGTTGAGTATGTATACAGATCTGAAATGATGCCGAGATTCATATCTCCAGAAGATGGAAATATGATATTCGAGACTGGAAACAGTCTTCGCTTCCTAAAGACACAGCATCCGCATCACCCACTTGCTCGCTTAGACGGATTGGCTGTTCAGCCCCCAGATATGGAGTGGGCTTTTCAGTGGCAGCAAGTAGAGAAATTAGCAGAGAAAGCAAAAGCTTATGAGGAGAGGCTGAGGCAAGCACTGTTGGCCTTTGGTGCGGGCCACGCCGACGCTGTAGAAAACCTTCCTGCGCCATCTACACCAGCGCCAGCTGCAGAGCTTTCAGTTGACACACAGAATCTTGATCGTTACTTTGAAGAATCCATTCAAACGATGGATGCCGCTCCCAAGGTGTCTTCAGAGGCTTTGCCTGATGAGTTGCAGCTTCTCATGGAAAGCATTCTCGACGCGACTCGCGAGAAAGACGAGGCAAACTCGAGCACATTCTCACCGCCAATGTCTCTAGCATCCACCTTGTCTTTTCGCCCACTAATCAGGGCGCAAGCAAAGCTGGTGAACGCAGCCACAGTTCGTTTGTTCTTCCGTTCCCATCAACTGCGCCTGCATTTGTCCTTGCAGCGGCAGTACCACTTACTTGGTGACGGTGTCTTTTCTTCACTGTTAGCAACGGCTCTCTTTGACCCAAATCGCGAAAGCGCTGAGCGACACAAAGGAAGAATGCGTAGTGGAGTGCAAATGGGCTTGCAGCTGGGCTCCCGCAAGTCATGGCCACCGGCGAGTTCAGAACTGCGATTGGCATTGAGAGGGGTACTGAGTGAAAGTTACTACTCTTCTGCACTCTTTCAATCCACACAAAAAGACGGCCAGATATCCGCACCCAAAACACACTTGCACAACAGAGACAACGACGAACTTCCGGGGCAGCTCAACTTTGCCATTCGTAATCTCACCGAGGCGGAGCAAGAAAAGGTCATGGATCCAGACGCCCTACCTGCACTGGACTTTCTACGACTGCAATACGTGGCGCCGCCTCCACTGAACCTTGTGATCACGACCACCGCACTGGACAAGTACGACTACATATTCAAGTTCTTACTGCGGCTATTGCGCATGCTCTTTGTAGTCTCCCATCTGCCACGCGAGTACCCTGATCGCGACTCTCGATACTTGAGGATGGAAGCATACCACTTTGTGATTGCACTGACCAACTACGTTTTCCAGACTGGGATTGCCGAGCCCTGGAATGAGTACGAATGCTTCGTCTCCAAAGTCGAAGCTCGTCTCAACCAGGAAGATATAGCTGGCGAGCTAGGTGTGCGCGTTACAGAAGGCGTTGCCTCGTTGCGTGATGCCCACGAAAAGTGCCTTGACAGTATTCTCTTTGCACTGTTGCTTCGCAAGCGCCAGCGCAAGATCATGGCGCTTGTCGAAGAAATATTCGAGCACATCCTTCTCTTTTCCAAGATGCAAAATTCAAAGACACATGGAAGCGAAGAAAGTGTCAAGAGTCTTTATGCCAAGTTGAGGGGTAAGATACGAGTGTTTTTCAGTGTGTGTCGAGGCTTGACAGGCAAGCAAAGCTATGGCAAGGGGAGAGGCACGGCAGAGGAAAACTCCATGGAGCGGCTCGTCATTGCTATGGAGATGAATGGTTACTTTGCTGCATCGTGAGGTACTAGATAGTTCGGCCTGACGGGTAAACGCCTCGTTTTGGTTTCCGCCCGAGTCAATATAGTGATGCTTTGGTGCGGTTCGGCCCGTTGCTAGCCACAATGTGCGATGTTCGTCCCCGCCCATAAGATGCAAATATAGCACTATATCAAGACACTATTGCCTACGAGTTCCTCTATTGCAAGACAGTGACGGGCAATGAAAGCGGCGGCTTTGACACATGCATACGATGATCTACGGTATCGGCACTGGACCATGTGGCGCGTTCCGCGTGCATCAAAGCGGAGCCGTCAACACCCGTATACCAAGACTTGATCTCGTATCGTGGATGATCTACGCATATGACTTGAGAGTACAGTCCAGTACGGCAATATGACTAGAGGAACTAAGGTGTGTGGGGTACACACAGTGAGTCATTCATTGGTATCCAAGTCTTCTTTCTTTTTCACCTCCCCAAGAGATAAACAATGCATAACAAGAAATTCGGCTTGCAGTAGAGATTCTGGGCTGAAAGTGGTTTGTACAAGTACCCCGCTCATTGTGTATATTGGATCATCTGAGCTAGCTCGAGTGATATGTTGTACATACAGTGTGTGGTACTCTTGGTGGACCAAAATACCCGGATAAACACTACCTTCACTGAAATCGCGCAACATTGATCAAATATAGCTACATGCCAGTATTATAGACCTGCACAGTCTCTAATTGAAAGAGATTGATATTCATGTCAAACTCTGGCACTTTGGTACATACAACTATTATATTTAAATGCGTGGTAGTGAAGGCGGCTGATTACAAACAGCGGCTCTGCTCTGATCAGGGCTATCTTCATTTCAGTATTGTAGTTCTCCAAAAGGGATTGAGTAAGCAGGATTTGCTCCCTTATCCCGTATGCATCTCTGAAAGTTATGATAGTAGCACTGAATGAACTATCCTTATCATTGACAGAGTATTCCTTAGTGAGCATGTACCGTGACGCTGTTTGTTGTAGGCTTTTGATGAAGGTACGCAACGAAAGCTATATAACACTTGGTAATGATTATGACTATTCACAATATTTCTTAGCATGAAAAAACTCTAATAGATAAGGATCAAAAACAATAGAAAAGAAAAGGGCAGATTGCTTGGTTAGAAAGAGGGGTTTTTGGGGGCGCTTCTAAGATCCGAGGCTGGACTTTTGACTAGTACCGTATAAGAACAGGCCATATTGGCATCGTATTCAATCACGGACTTCCCACCATACGCAGCATCAGATATTCCGTACTCACCACGGGATCTCATTTTCCGTCATTCTTGAAGGTGTTCTTGCTATCTGCTCTTGTTACGCATATCACTCCTGTTTTTGCTGATGAAGCACCTACTGTAACCATTGCTTCGGGCGTTATCATCGGCACTACCACCAAGCCTGCCAACCAACCCGATTTACCAGCTTCAGCAAATGCCTACCTAGGCGTTCCCTTTGCTAAGTCACCCCCACAACGCTTTTCTCCACCAGAAGCAGTACAACCATGGTCGTCCCCTTTGCAAGCAAAAGCCCTCAAACCGGCGTGTATACAACAGTTCTCGGGCAAGAACCGAGACAAGACTATGGAGTTTTTCAACAACCCACTACACCATCCTCCCGGGGAGAGTGAAGACTGTTTGTATCTCAATGTCTACACGCCTGCTGGGGTGAATGCAACCAGTAAGAAGGCAGTGATGTTTTGGATCTTCGGGGTATGGTTTTTCTTGATTGCAAACTGGATACGGAAAGCTGTGCTAATAGAATACAGGGTAATTTAGCTTTTGGAACTGGAGGACTGAATTACTACGACGGTACTTCTCTTGCTGTAAACGAGGACGTAGTCGTTGTCACAATCAACTACCGTACAAACAGTGAGTCGTTAGAAATGAGACTTGTAGTGCAGTAACTAACAAATCGGGTACTTAGTCTTTGGTTTCTCAAACTCTCCAGAGATACCCTTTGGTTCTCAGAACTCTGGATTCTTGGACCAGAGATTCGCACTCCAATGGGTTCAGGACAACATTGTAAACTTCGGGGGCGATCCCAAGCGCGTAATGCTTTTTGGTGAATCAGCCGGCGGCGAATCAATCAAGCAGCTTCTCGCCAACCCCCCAAATCCCCTTCCCTTCTCATCCGCAATCCTCCAATCACAACAAGCACTTTCCCAGGGAAACGGACTTACCAACTACAAAAAAGTTCTCTCGCATTTCAGCTGCACAGACATCACCTGTCTGCGCGCCGTTCCCGCTACAGAAATAAAATCCTACATCGAATCCGAATCGCTGAGCTTCGCACCCGTCAATGGCGATGGAACATCCGCCGACGACGTTCGGCCGAGTATCCGCTCGAAGAAATGGGCTCGAGTCCCCACAATGTTTGGTACGAACCTCAACGAAGCCCGCATCTTCCTCGCTGTATTAGGCTCAAACGACGCCACAACCGCCTTCAATAGCATTGTCGAACAGGTGAACACATCGTCAATCGACGCCCCCGATGCACACACCACTGTAACAGATGCCTACGCTGAACAAGGCATCACTGTATTCGACAAGTTACTAGACCGAGTCCTCACCGACGCAATCTTTACACGCACCACATCCCGCTTGTCGACTTTCCTTGACAAAAACTCGTACACTACGTATCGCTATCTGTACAGCGGCGTATTTCCCTCGGTGAGTATCTTCAATGATGCCGGTGCTTATCACACCAGCGAGATCCCGCAAGTGTTTGGTACGTGGGAGCGCTCAAACCGGTTTGGAAATGCGACGGAGCAGCAGATTAAGCTGAGCAGCTTCATGCAGAAGACGTGGGCGGATTTTGCGAAAGATCCGGAGAAGGGGGTGGGGTGGGCGAAGGTGGGGAGTACGCTGTTGGGTAGGGAATTGGGGGTGTTGGGCGAAGGGGGTAGCGCGGGTGTGACTGTGAAGAGGAAGGCGATGGTGGATTATGCTTGTGCATTGTATGATACGGTTACGTATTTTTCAGGTTTGATGTGGTAGGGGATGGGCTGGAATTAGTGTTCTGAGAATAGGGACTGCTGTCCGGTATTCAGCATCACTTTGAATGGAGTAACGACTATCTTCCAATACCTTTTACGTTCTTTCTACACGAAGATCTTGGGATTGTCATAGCGTGCTCGTGATGAGTGATGTCACCAGAGTTATCACTACAATAGTAACAATAACCCCTGAAGCTCTCCTTTCACAATGTCAGGCACCCAGGAAAATTCTGCGTATCATTCACTATCGCTGCCCTATATAGCTTAGCGCAAATGCCTTTCCCGTAGGTATATATACGCTACTTCTCGCCCTCTCCTCGAACTCCACGCATATACACATAACACATATAGATATGACTACTCGCACTTTACAAGTAGTATCACATGTATATCCTCAAGATATACAATAAACTGCTCGCGCTTAGCTTGTAGTCGCCTTATATATATACTTTGGTATATACATACACACAATGCACAGCCTCTACAAGCTCTCCAGTCATAGAAAGATCCAAAATGCCCACAGTAAGTTGTTACTCTGTTTTTCATATGGCTGTAGCTGACGTGTGTATCCAGAACCATCGGAACCATGGCGCCAAACCCTAAGCCCCCACCAACGGGGCTATCGTGACCATCCCCAAACGATGGGGACATCGCGAATATATCCAACAACGACGAGCAACGAGGCCCACGTTGAGCAACACCAGCAATGGGGACATCACGAATACGCCAAACAACAGGCACAGCAACAGCAACAGCAAGAGGCGGAGTGCAAAGTTTGCCCACTAGCAACTGACAGCCAAGTCAGGGGAGACATCCCGTCTCCGCTATTCCCGCGCATCAGTAACACCGCCAACATCTTCGCTGCACGTGTCGTCGACACGTGCGGTGTGATCATAGGACTGGTTGTGGCGGGGGGGGGGGGGCACATATTCTCTTCACTTGCAGTGAGCAGCAAGTCACCTGTCCCCGCCTCACCTCATCCGTATTCACCTGAAAATACAATAGGTTCATTGGGAGGAGAGGACCATTGGGTTGTGTTTAGGATATTTCATCGAGTGTGGCCTGGGTCATGGAGAGTATTTGTGGAACGTGTATTTATAGATTCTGGGAGTAGTCTTCAGAGTTGAGGATAATCATGGTCTTGTATGGATCGATACACGAATGTATTTAAGTTGATGACTCGAGCGGAGTCACTGACTCTGGTGCATTCGTGTATCAGCTTACCTTTTCTCAACTTTGGTGGTAGTTTCAGTATTATTCTTAACGTGTTTTACAAGCGAGCGGGCCATACAAGCGAGCGGGCCACCCCACCAACTTTGCGCACCTCTTTACGTGTACAGCTCTACCACAACTAAATAAAACTCATATATATTAAGATAGTAGATTAAATACTATCTAAAGTATCTTTCTTACATGTAC